CGTGGCGCGTGGCCTGCCGGGATTTGTAGTCCGCGAGCTCGGGCGCGCGCGTGCCGTCTGTGAACGCAGTGTAGAAAGTGCGGGAGTATGGGGTGGGGAGGGGGAGGCGGCTTGAGGGAAACAGATGTTTCCCCCGCTTCAGCGAGCGAGCGACGCCCAAATCTAAGTAATGGGGTGCGGATGAGCCAGAAGAGCTCTGAGCGGGGCAACTCACTGGCCCCTCCAAGCCTCAGTTTCTCTGTTTACACCATGGATCGATCATTGCCCGGAGGCTGGCCTGAGTTTTTGTGCCACCAGTTTCGCGGGAGTGGTTTGTTCCGCAGTGTGCAGGAACACCTCCTGCTGCCGCAATGCTCTTGCACGATTTGTGCTCCGAGGGGAAGGTTCTCAAGTCCCAACCCCTGGGGGACTCCTATGCAGCCTTCAGGATCCAACCCGAAAGGCTCTGTGTAACTGCATGGAGTAATCAGGAGTGGCATCAGCCACAGAGAGAGGCAGAGACCCCGCGGGGGGAGGCGGCCCTTTTGCAGGAGGTGGAGTCGGGGATAGAAGGCCCCGTCACAACTGGGCTTTTATAGACGGGGGAAGGGCCTCCAGGCGGCTGAGAACAGTATATAAACAAAGCTGCACTCCCGCCCCCACTCTGAGAGCCCCTTGCAGCCCTTTTCTCTTCTGCACAATGGCCTGGGGGCTGGGTCTTTCCTTCCAGCCTGGGGATAGGCTGCGCTGGAACCGGGACTGGGCAAGATCAGCGCTCCCAGAAGCTTAGGTGAAGCAGGTGGGCCAGACCAGGAACCCATCAGGCTGATATCTGACCCCTACACAGCTGCCATGGACACCCAGTCCCATCGGCCCTTCCCCGGAGCTGGCTGGCTGCGTGGAAGAGCAGCAAGGAAAGAAGAGATGATGCTAATAGTCAAGCTTATTAGAAGTGCCTCCTGTGTGCCAAGCACTATTCACAGCTCCCTCCTAATTTCAGTTGATTCCTTGAAGGGGTCACCGTATTTCATGCCTGTCTTTTTGATCCAGATGGGCACAGGCAAAGGGGTTTTTAAGCTGGGAGCAGAGCCCACGAGAGTGAGAAGGATCAGAGCCCTTCGGTGCTGCATATACACAGACTGACGAGGTCTGAGCTCCAGAGCCTCTTCCAAACGAGGCAAAGTGACTGCCTGCCTGCTTACCTAGCAGCGTGTTTAGCACAGGACCTGGTGCTGGAGGTGTGAGGGAGGTGCTAAGGAGCCCTGGTGGTGCACTGGTTGTGTGTTGGGCTGCGATCTATGAGGTTAGTGGTTCCAAGGAAGTAAGATGAGGCATTCGACTCCCATAAAGAGTTAGTCTCAGAAACCCACCAGGGCAGTTCTGTTAGGGTCTCCAAGAGTTGGAATCCACTCGATGCCAGTGAACTTGGGTTTGGAGGGAGTTGCTACAAGCTCTGGTATCATAGTGGGTCACCAGTTATGCTTGCGAACAGCAAGGTCAGCAGTTTGAACCCACCAACTGCTTCATGGGAGGAAGAGGAGGCTTTCTGCTCCTATAACTATTTACAGCCTAGGAAACCCAATGGGGTTATCGGGAGTATCAGGAGGGGGCTTGAGGGAGACAGATGTTTTCCCCGCTTCAGCGAGCAAGCGACTTCAAAATCCAAGTAATGGGGTGCCGATGTCCTGAAAGCCAGGAGAGCGCTGAGTGGGGCAACTCACTGGCCCTTCCAAGCCTCAGTTTCTCTGTTTACACCATGGACCGACCATTGCCCAGAGGCTAGCTGAGTGGTTGTGCCACCAGGTTCGCGGGACTGCGGTTTGTTCCCCAGTGTGCCGGAACCTATAGGCTCACTGCGAATCAGAATCGACAGTGAGGGAGTTGCCAGTTCACATCTAGACCTTGCCCTTTAGAAGCTGTGAGACCGACAGCAATTTACTTCAGCTCTCTGTGCCTCAGTTTCCTCATCTGTAAAATGGCAGTCATCCGAGTCCCTAACTCCGAGTGTTTCGTGAAGAGTGAATGCAGACTTTGCGACGCCTAAAGGATATGCCAGGCACCCAGGAGGAGCTTGTAAGTGTTAGCTATTATCATCATGGCCCTTGTTAATTGCGACTTCAGCTCTTCCCCTCCATTAAAGAGGACGAGTCCCTGCCCTTCCTCTGTGCCCAGCTCCATTTATCTGTCTTTGAGATGGGGCGCTAGGCATCAGGCATTACACAGCCAAAGCCCGGCCCCTTAGCACCTCTGGGTCTGACCAGGACCTGAGGGAAGACCACGGCCACTCACTGTGCACTGGGTCCTGATGGGGGCTTGCAGGGACTGTGGGAGCCCAGGCGAGCCAGGGTAGGGGTCCTGAGTTAAATGGAGCTGGGCTCTGATGGGTGAGTTTCCCAGGCAGAGAGGAATAAGGGCCAGGCAGGAAAGAATGGTCAGGAGCCCTCAACGCTTGCCAGCAGTGCAGATTTCGGGCCTCCAGATGTGGATTTCACAAGGACTGGGTGGGCATGCTAAGGAAAACGGAGGCTTGAGCCCTTGCACACAGCTAGGCAGGATTCAGGACTAGCGATAGGGAGGGGGCCATCTCCCCAGGCTGAAAGGGCCTGGGGCCCGAATGACGGTTTGACCCCTCCCTGGCAAGCCCAGACAACCTAGGTTTGTGATTACCAGGAAGGCCCAAGAGGGCAGGGTCAGGCAGCGAACCCATGTCCTTCAGTGGATTGCTGCGTGCAGGCCCTGGCTCACAGCAGGAAAGTGTAAGAGAAGCCCAGGCAGGGTCTTCAGGGATTCCAGGTGCTCCACACTCATCCTGAGGGTGGGAGGGTGCCAGGAGGGTACCTGGTTCTTAGCACTGTAGGAGGAGAAGCTGCTCCCTCCAACTTCCTAGCACCAAGTCATCCAGAGGCCAGGGAAAGGCTGCTGCCTTCTGGCATTTCCTGGGTGGGGCAGCCTCTCCCACACTCTAGCTGGAACCCAGCTCTGGGGAGGGACCCTCCTGTGGGTTCAAATCTCAAGCTCTCCCCTTGCTACGGGGGTCATCTCGGCTAAATCACTGGGCCCCACTTCCTCATCTGTAACCTGTGTTATTTATTGTAGGTGCCACCAAGGTCGTTCTGACTCTGTTCCATCCTTAGCACTCACTGCTCACCACAATGTTTGAGAGCCCTTCTGTGAGATGTGGTGAAGATTCGAAATAGGAGTTGAACACGAGGCCTGAAAGGGTCTGTACCTAATAAACCTAATTATTTACTAACCTTGTAAATTTAATAAAACAGCCACATGGGCTACCTCCCCTTTCTTCAAAGATATCAGACAAGGCCCTGCCTCAGGGCCTTTGCACTTGCCAATTTTCCTCTGCCTGGAACACTCTTCCCCCAAATATCTACTATCACCAAATCCCTCAAATCCTTTGGATCGCGATTTAAGTAACACTCTCAGGGAAGCCTCCTCAGACTTCGTTATAATGACCGGCTGTAAAATGGTAGTAGGAGGTGCAGTGTCCGCATCAGAACCTGTCTAATGTCGGGTGGGGGTGGTGGTACTATGAAATCAAGAGATCAGCCTTACCTCCGTCCTGCACTCATCAAACTTAGTACAGTTCAGACACCCTCCTTCCCTCCCTCCCACAGCCCTTTCTACTTCTCTCTGAGGCTTGGTCATCTATTGTAAGGGTCTCATAGAAATGCCAGTCATCAAGTGGGTGCCAACTCATCATGACTCTATAGGACAAAGTAGAGCTGCCCTGTGAGCTTCCAAGACTAACTGTTATGGGAGTAAAAAGCCTGTCTTTCTCCTGCGGAGCAGCTGGTGATTTTAAAGTAGGGTCCTGGCCCAACCTGTAACCACTGTACCACCAGGGCTCTGTGTAAATTTCAAGGCAAGGCCTCTTCCAGTAGAAGGCCACAAATTGTCCCATCCCCTCTGGGTAGGTCAAAAATGCC